CAGTAGGATAAAGCGTTAAACGTTGAATATGTATCGGCCTAGTGCCAAGCTATTAATGGCAAGTTCAATTATACATCCATGCGCGGTCCCATTTAACGACATTACCTTCGTACTCTCTCCTTCAGTGTGATTGGTCGTTACAAGCTGGAATCAGTAGGCCTGTAATACCTAACCCCTGCGCTCTGTTTTCAGAGGGTTTACAGCTTTTCACTTCACGTATACCGAGAAGTGCAGTACATGTTTTACGCCATAGTGGTATATAATGGTGTAAACCTTTTTTTCAATCTTGCAGCCCAAAACCAGTTATCCATCACTTTCGTTTATTCCACACACATATAACCCCATTTACAACCATTCCGATCGGTGCCCACTGCAAAAAAACTATTTTCTGGTGCTTTTCTTGCAGACAACTTGCAGCGCAAATACGGCGAGCTCAGCGGCGAAATTGTAACGGTTGAGATTGTTCTGCAGGAGATTGAAGAGCTCAGCAGAACAACCAAGGCTCGAGGCCTAGGCATCAGCCTGTGTGGAAATCGCGATCTCAACCAGATGGAGGTTCTTGTTTGTGGTCTGCGGCCGGGTGGAATCGCTGACCTTGACGGCCGGATCATTGTTGGTGACCAACTTCTGGAGGTTAGCTTTCCTTAGAAACGCTGAGACTCTGTCTTTTTGGTCAGTTATTTTGAAGATTGTGTAAACAGCAAAATTTATTCAAGAGTGCTCATCAGTTGCTTCCTTTCGTTGCGTGACGTGAATAACGTCAGAGAAAATATAAAAATGGAATTCATACAGAAAAATCGATACATAACGGCAAGGTCACAGGAAATGGCCAAGATGCAATCAATAAAGTAAGAAAGTTAAAAGGCTGTGAGCACCAAAAAACTGGGGAAAAACGTCTGAGGTAAAAGATGGGGAGGGAAATATGCAAACAGGAATCCGGTGTTACTAAGGCAGAGCTAGGTTCACCACATGCTCCAGTTGTTTACATAGGTCGGGCTTAAACTGCCGTGTGTAGGCTGCCTCCAGGTAGCGTAAGGTACGAGTTGTTTGTGCCCGAACATGTACTCAGAATGAGGTTTTGGGGTCCACGGAATGGCCCGTATCTAGCAGATATTCAGTAATTGATGAGCGGAGAATTCTGCTTTCTTGCTTCAACAACCAGCTGGGTAAGTGGTCCTTGGCTCTGGTGGCCAATTGCCTTTGCGTTCGCTCTATGTACTTGCATCCGTAGGTGCATGTAAATTCATAAACACAGTTTGAAGTGGCGTGCATTGGCAAAGCGTCCTTCGCATGAGAAATTGATAAGAGCTTGGTTAGATTGCAAATTATAAGTTCAGCAGCATAATATGTCCTTTCAATAGCATTAAGTAGCCGCCTCTTTATGGCATTGAAAATGTTGTCACCCTTAAAGTACAAAGATATGAAAAAAGGTTTTTTTGTAGCTGACTGTTCCGTCATTTTGGGCCGTAATGTTTTTTCATATTTGTCTATAAACCGTACAGGGTATCCACGCTTCAGTAAAGTTTCTTTGAGGTTAGTTATTTCCGCTTACAATATATCCATAGAACAGATTTTCTCGACGTCTGGAAGAGGGTGCATACCAAGTTTCGTTTCCATTGAATGAGTGTTCTTATAATTTTTTCAGCTCAACGACCACGTCCTGTACGGTCGCAGTCACTTAAACGCCGCCCCAATTATCCTCTCCAGCTACGCCAATATGCTCAATAAAGCGGGAGACAAACACAAGCACGGAAACAGTCAGGCGTTGCGGTTTGTCATTCGTCGACTGCCTGAAAACTTGGCCAATCTCGCCTGTCCTCCGATTGCTTATCCATCGGTGAGCCAAATTAGCTGTGGTCTTATTCCCGAATAAATGAAGTTTTATTCTTATCTAAAAATGCACTGCCTATATAACCAGCTGTTGCGGCTGGCAGGGCCTCTGGCGAGACCCAAAGCAGAACGGGAAGGTAGATTACCCGTTAAGAAGAAGACGACTCCATCTGTGGGACAATACGTTTATTCGCCTAACGTTTTGACATCCGTCGCGGATTCATCATCAGAGACGTTGGCAGAAAGCAGTAGCAGAAACGGGTAAAAGATGCACAGGGGTTTGCAGTATTTATAGGACACAGTCATGACTGCGGACATACAGCGACAATTAATGTGAGTTGCCTTCTTGTACGTGGATACATTGTTGGTCGGCATGCGGGCTCTGACCTGTTGCAGTTTCATCACGCGTGGTGGACTGCGGCGTGATGGTTGCCCGGCCATCTGGCCCTCTGGTATTTGCGAAGGATGGCATGATGGCCTGTCCGTTCCCCA